TTCATGCGAATGGAACCGAAAGCTGGCTCTCTGGCGGCCATTCGAATGAACCAAAGCCATGAATTGTCCTCAGCGGTACTTAGCCGCGATTGTTATGGAACTTAATTTAGTATGAGAACTTCATGTGTTCCCGGTCACCTCAACGGGGCATAGCCGCGAATGTTATGGAACTGTTTTCGGCATGAGGTGACCGTGCGGTTCCCGGACAACTTGGTTCACAGTTTTGAACCACTGTGAAATCCGCCGAGAGCACTTTTTGGAGGGAAGGTGCCTGAGACTAAGGGGAACAAACGCTACATAAGATCCAGCTGGAGCGTCCGCAGGAGCTCCCGAAAAAAGCACCGAACGCCCTGGAACTGTTTTAGGCATAGGACCATGTGTGCAGCCGGTCAGAACTGGTGGTGTTTCCCCTACAGTACATGGATCTGAGTGCTACTTAGAGAACTTGGGCGCTCAGATTAGGGCTATTTAATGATGTATTATTTGTGGGGTTATGTTATGTCTTTATGATGTTTTGGGGTATTTTTGTTTGCCTCTCTGTTCCTGTGAGATAATTAGCTTACTGGTCTTTAACGCAATTATCTCCCAGGCACAGAGATTTATAGGAGGGGCTTGCATTGTATTGTGTGGAGATCCCCTGCTGGGAGTTTTGTGTATAAGAAGGCCACTGTTCTTGTGCCTTCAATCTAGCCTAGGCTGATGTTTGGGTAGCTCAGGGCTTTAATCACTGCTTCACTTGGGAGTTGGGATAACTACAGCGGATATACTCAGTTGGAGTATAGGGGATCCATTACACTGTGTAACAGCTGACCTATAGGGAGCTCTTGAATGAGTACGAGAGTAGTCAAGATGACCGATCTCATTAAGTTTAGACAAGAACTTCAAAGTGACTGGGATAGCTGCAGTAAAGGGATTAAAGTTCCCCTTCAAACACCAGCTACTCCTGGAGTTCTATGTGTAAAGATAACATATTCTTGCTCCTGGAGCCCATGAGTCCAAGAGAAAGACCTTAGTCACCTACGATAGGCCTTCAACATTCCAGGAGCCCTGGAAACCATTCAAGCCACCAGACATAGACAATCTTGCAGTATGAGAGCATAAGGGTCCATCTGAGGACTGGTGAGAAGGAGAGGAAACATAGGTCAAAGAAGAGGATCCATTTGAGATAACTCCAGAAGTTTTGGATACCAAACTTGGCTCTGCCATAGATGGGCTAACAGGAGAATGGAGGTCCGAGTACCAGGCTTGGCCCTGCCATAGGGGAGTTAACAGGACAACTGACAGTTGTTGGGAACAGATCTGATCACCAGCATTGAGAATAGTGGGAAGGCAATACCCCCTCGGGTTAGTCAGGCTTAGTCTCACAGACCAATTTTTAACTTCCAATATATTACAAGAGCCAACTGTAATACCTTGAAAGTTTACAATCAATCTGTGAGACTAACATATCTACCATGTCTACCTGTTTAGAAGATGAAAGACAGACTGGTCCAGATGCCAATCTCTGCTATCCAGTGAGAAGATATTCTACCTTGAGAGTGATGTTTCATGTGAGGCAAAAGCTGTAAATGTATTTTGTGACCTCTAAAAGGACTTGAGAACTGGTTGCCCCAGTTTATTTATATATTGGACTGCCAAGATGTTGTCCATCTGTAATAGAATGTAACAATCTGATTTATCCCTGGCAAGACTGCAGAGAGTGAATGAACCTGCTTCAGTTCCAGGTAATTGATATGTAATCCAGTTATTTTATATCCGGATTACCAGACAAATCTCTTTTTTATCGCTGTGATCTTTGAAGGCAGTAGGTTGAATTTATCTTAAACCCAAGAAACTGAACTATCTGCATTGGGACGAGAGACGATTTTTCCCTGTTGACCACAAAACCTAAAGACTCTAGAAAGTGCACAATAAATAGCATCTGCCAATGTAGATGAGAAGCTTAATCACAAAGTATCAAGTTGTCAAGGTAGATACAATAATGAATGCTCTGGGATCTCAGATGAGCCATTTCAGCAGTTTCGTGAAACACTAAGCCAGTCCGAAGGTTAGGTAGGTGAACTGGCAAAGGCACCCCGCCAGGAAAAACAAAGAAAATATTGACTGCCTATTGTAATTGACATGGGTAGATAATCGTCCTTCAGGTCAAGGCTTGTTAACCAATCATCTTTGAGGATAAGCTTCTGACTATCCTCCATTTTGAAGTGCCTGTATATGACAAACGAGTTGAGCAGGCGTAATTTTATGACTGGACGAAAATCACCTGTTTTCTTTTAGTCTAGGCAGAGGCTGCTGAAAATACTTCCTTTGTCTTGAGCATACTGCACTGAGCTTTTGGAAAATAATGCTTAAATCTCGTTAATGAGAGCAATATGCTCTGTGGAGGGGGACATAGCTGAACCGGAATTCTATGACATACCCCTAGACTGTCTGAAGTATCTATGGATCCGTAGAGATTGCTTCCCAGTTCTGTAAAAAAAAAAGGGACAACCTATCTGCAGTAAACTTGGAAGAAGAGGTTGTCATAGGTGAGCTCACCTACGTAAGTACATGCTCTGCCGAGTGTCCCTCTGATCCTGTCTGTGCCATGTTGGTAAGAGAAATTCCTAGAGGACGTTGCAAGAAAAAGGGAAGCTGAAGCTGAGTTAGCCCTGGGACCAATTGTCCATAAGCGGCTGGTTGCCCAGCCCCTCTGCTAACCAGGCCTCCTAAAAACCCCTTTGTGTGGGTGTGGGGCGAAAGACTTGCTTCAATGATGTCTGAGCTTTGTTGAGAGTCATGAATAGATCAATGTGTTTCAGGGCCTCAGACTCACCCGCATCTCATTTTCCCATAGCCAGTCGCAGACAGAGCCATGAGAAGTTTGTTTGGTAGGCTGTTAGGTAAGTATTTAGACAGTGCCTTTCCATAGATGGAGATCGCCAATGCGGCAATAATCATTGGAAGTCTTGTGTTAGGCAAGGGTGTCATGCCAGCCAGGGAGGTGAGATGTGCCAACCAGCACTTACAACTGGGGCTTACCCAGTGTTATGCAATATAAAATATCCCTGGACCCTTAGGGAGCAACGTCCAGCCCACAGGGACTCGTTACATGGAGGCAACTGAGCCAAAAGGGGGCTCACCCCTATCCAAGTGTCTGGGTATGTGCCAATCCAAAGCAACACATGGGGCACATACAGTGCAGTAGGAGGTGCTAGTGCTGGCAGTACCTTATATTACCTCTAGGGATGCACCGAAATTTCGGCTGCCAAAATTTTCGGCCGAAAATGCACCGATCCCATTTGGGCCGAAAATCGGTCAAATCTGCCATGAATTAAAATTCCTATTGACAGTCCCCCAACCCGCACTGCCCCCACTGACAGCCCCAGCACTGCCATCACTTGCAACCCCCATGACATGAATCCTGGGTGGGGAAAGACCCTGTGCCGTTTGCAGGTGAGCAGTGAGCGGGCTGTGCCCGGTGTCCCCAGTCTGGGCTGTCCGCAGGGACCGGCCCTGGTGGGGAATGGTGGACAGGGAGGAGCTCTGGATGGTACCAGTCAAAGAAAATCCCACGGGGGAGGGAAACCATTGAATGTGGCTGCCGTTCATTTCCCAGTTATTACCTAGGATCCCGGGATTCACCATCGGAGTCCAGCGGCAGAGGGTGGTCTCAGGTACCGGCGGGGAGCAGGGTGTGGGACTCGGCTCTCAGACCCACCCACCAGGTGGCCCCTACTACGAGCAATGTGTGCGGCAAACAGGGGCAGCGGGGCATGGGGAAGAATACAGGAAAACACAGAGCCGTCTGCAGCTATAAATCCAAGAAAAATACACACACCCTTTTCTTTTTTTTTTTTTTATTTCTTTTTTTTTTATTTAAGGTCAGTATATTGTACAACATTTTCATCACTTAAGTTTGACAGGTATATGAAAGTACATGGTACAGAACATAGGTGTTACATTGGTCAGGTAATCATAAAATCATATAATTAGCAGTGCGAGATCAGATATGAAATTGTGTCTTTGCGTTGGGTATATAGGGATAGCAGTAATATTGGGGTTCCACTACCTTTTCCTACATCCCTACGGTTGCATGTGAGCCGGCTCCTATTCCCAGGGAGGAAAAGGGGGGGGGGAGGTGGGTAGAGTGTCCTCGGTCTCTAAGTGGTCTGTCGGAGGTATTGGGTCCATGGGTACCAGGTCTCTGTGTATTGTTGGTATTGATTTGATAGAGCATAACACGTTTCTTCTAGACTTCTGGTATTTTCTACTTTTTGTATCCACTCGCGTATGGTCGGGGGGTTTGGTTGTTTCCATAGGGCTGGAATAAGCTGGTTCGCAGCTGTTATCAGATGTATGAGCAGGGCCGCCGTGTGTTTCGGTAAGCCGTATGGGGTGAGAAGGAATATGTATGTGTCTGGGTCTAAGGGAACAGTTATCTTAAGTATGGTGTGGATCAGGCCCGCCATGCGTGTCCAAAATTTTTGTATCACTGGGCATGTCCACCAAATATGCGAGGTGGTGCCCACTGCTGAGTGGCAGCGCCAACATTGTTTGGAGGTTGCGGGGAATAGGGAGTGTAGTTTTGAGGGCGTGTAGTGCCACCTCGTTATTCTTTTATAGTTGCTTTCCTGTGTGGTTGTGTTTTTTGAGGATTTGTGTATTTGTTTAAAAAATTTTTTCCATTTGTCGGGGCTGTATTACTAGGTTTAACTCTTTTTCCCAAGTGGTAGTGAAGGCCGGCAATTGTTGTGGCCTTGTGGATAGAACTTGGGAGTACATTGTTGATATGTGTTTTGTTCTTATGGATTGGAGGGAACAGCATTTTTCAAAGTTTGTCTGTTCACAGCTGCCGTTGAGGGTTAGGGATTTTGATTGAATAAAGTGTGTTAGTTGCCTGTATTGATATGTTTGCATAGCCGTGGGGTCAGCTATAAATGCCTGTAAGGGCTTTGTTACTTTTGCCCCGACAGTTGTCAAGGCATTCTCTAATGTTAGATATGGCGTTGTATGGAAAGCCTGGAAAGATTTGCCGTCTACTCCCGGCTGGAATAGGGGGTTGTGTGTGAGCGGGTATAGTGGCGATGGGTAAGGAGACATCAGATTGTGCGTGCGTATGGTCGCCCACATGCGAAGGGTCGGTGTGATGGTAGGATGTGGGTTGTGGAGCATTAGTACTTGCCCTGATTTGTGACAGGGTATCGTGTAAATAGGTACTCTGAAAAAGGTGTCTTCTAAGTTCACCCATTGTTTCCCGGATTGTGGAAGGGACCAGTCGTATATCCTGGATAGCAGTATTGCGTTGTGGTATGTTTCAACATCGGGCAGACCCAGGCCGCCCCTGTCTTTTGGTTTTGTGAGTAATGAGTACAATATTCGTGGAGGCTTGTGAGCCCAGATAAATGTGGTGAGTGTTTTTCGGACTGTAGTGAACCAGGACTTGGGAATAGTTATAGGGAGCACTTGTAGTATGTATAGTATTCTGGGTAGGACATTCATCTTGAGGATGTTCGTCCTACAGAACCACCCAAAGTGTGGCTTGTTCCATGTGGTGAGGTCTTGCGTTATGGCCCTTGTCAGTTCGGGGAAGTTGTTCTCGAATAATTGGGAAAGGTTCCTGGTGATGTTGATTCCCAAGTATTTGATACTGTGTGTTGCCCATGTGAATTGGTGATCCCTGCGCAGGGCATCTTTCTCTCGCGATTCAATGTGTATCGGGAGGATCTCACATTTGCTAATGTTTGCTTTAAAGTTGGAGAGTGTACTGTAGGCAACACACACCCTTTTCGTGAATGGAATCTTCCATGTTATACAGAGGCTCACACTTCCTCAACTGGCATTCTAGACCCGGAGGAAGCAGGGGCTAGCTTTAGGATTGCTAAATGCACCATTTTTCTTGGAAACATATACATAGAGGGTGGGCCCCACGGGAAAAGTGCTGCCCTGTAATATTTTTAATTTAAATTATTTTTTTTTAAATGTGATTAAAATTTTTCCCCAATGTTTAACAAAGATGTGTTTGTAATGGCTGTGATATAAAATTAAATGTTAAAATTCACATCGTTGTATTCAGCAACTTTCTGTAACTGAGCACCTCCTTGTAGGTAACAGAGATAGAAAAAAGCTATGGTATTTCTAACACCCTCGCTCTGTCACCAGTAACCCCCTCCCTCAGTCACTGTCACCAGTCACCCCCTCCATCAGTCACTGTCACCCACTCCCTCAGTCACTGTCACCAGTCACCCCCTCCCTAATTCACTCTGTCACCACCTTACACACTGTGTCTAATAGTCTAATATTAATAAAATTATAGAAAATCTATTTTAAAATCATTTGGGGGAAAAAAGTCATTTTCGGTTTCGGTTTTCAGCCAAGGGCATCTTGAATTTTCGGTTTCGGCACAGAATTTTATCTCTAATTACCTCCTATCAACTTTTTGATTGGTTGTTTCTATATTTGATCTGTGCTTCTGTTTGAAGTACAGTAAAGAGAGATTAGAAAAATTTGAAGCTGTCATGTAAGAAAACTAGTATGAAATTTTAATAAATACATCTTTAACCGTTTAAATAACCAATGGCATTTTTTATCATTATCATCATAATCTGATCTCCAAAGATGATATACAAGTATCCTCAAAACAAATGCTCAAGTTTGTGTCAAAGCCTATTATGTCTACTTACATGAGAGGCTTTGGTATTGATATGTCTATTAAATGTGTCAATTACATATAACAGGTCTCAAAACATTCCTGATATCAGAGGGACAGTCCTGACTATCAGCTCCTAACCCACCATCTAGACTTTGTTACCTGGTGTCTGCTTTTTGGGGACACCAGGGAACTGTCCCCAGAAAGCAAAGTGTTTGAGCATCATTAGATCAGGGCACCAGCAGAGAACACTAAAACAGTTCCGCTGCATGGTCCAACCTTGGTGGGCAAGCCTGCTTGATTGGCAAGCAGCCAGATCTGTCAGTTCTTTGGGTGGACTCTCCCCCTTGCGTGATGCCAGTGACGTTCACATTACTGGCATGCCTCTTATAACCAGCCCTCCGGTACCTTTTTAAAAGCCACTTTTGTGAGTGGGGAGTCACTTATTAACTGAGAGCATTTCAGAAGTCAAGTAGATCTGAGATCAGCCCTGGAGACAACTTTGGTGTTAAACCGTTCAAGATTTAGATGAAGTTGTTATGGTGCCTGGAGTGCCCCTTTAAGTAACCTAGACTTCGTCTATAAGGTAAAGTAGTCATTACATTGTCTTATGATATCTTTTGATTGTGCAATTAACATGAGTGTTCATAAAGATTTTATTTCCATAAAATACTCATAACATGACTAGAGGTGACAGAGCCTCTTTAAGCTCAGTTTTCATTCCTGTGTCACACTTTATTCCACGGCAGAATGATTTTCATCATTTCTGAAAAATCATTTGGAAAACGCAGTCTACGGGAAATAATATACATCCCAAAGGGAAGCAATCGGGTGCAACTGTGTGTTTAAATTAGTGTTTCCATTCAGAAAATATTTTTATTTAAATTGTATGTAATAACAAATCATAACAGCCACAGTAGCAAAAAATAATCTGCGTAAAATGTGAAATGTGAGAACAACATTTATGTTTTAAAGAAAACTGAAATCTGGGCTGAAATATACTTTGCCTATGCAGCAGGATCGAAACAACACATAAATATACAGCAAAAAAAAAAAAGAAAAAAAAGAATGTGCTCCGTTTACGGTGTTTGAAGAACACAGGACATATATAAAGAAATATGCAAGATAAGCTAGTTGTCAAGTCGCCCACACAGTGCATCACCATAATACGCGTACGATTCTGCCATAGAGAATCAATGAATACAATGATTTTCTATCGCAGACCGTGATCAGGAAGCCCCAGATATCACTGGATACTTGAAGGTCCCCTGTGTCAGCTGGGGCCATAATTAGTGAGTGCTGCACATAGCCCTTAAATCACCACGGCTGAGTGATCGTACTCAGCTGCAGTGATCCTGAGCTGCAAGGACTTAAAATCAGGAAGCCCAAGGTATCTTTCGATATCTGAGAGTGCCCGTTGTCACCTGGGACCACAAATAATGGTCCCTAGACTGACCAATGAGCTATGTGAAGTGGTCAAAGCCCTTTAAATCACTGCAGCTTTGCCATCACTCTTAAGGAGAGGACTTTGAAGCACCACTTGCTTTTTTTAGCAATATTCTATCACATTCCTACTCAGCCTGACTCTTCGTATCCTCGATATTAGCCACCATTCATACACAGTCTGGCCCCTGCTATCCTCTGTATCTGCTACTATTTATACTCAGTCTGACCCCTGCTATCATCTGTATCTGCCACCATTCATACAGTCTGGCCCCTGCTATCCTCTGTATCTGCCACCATTCATACATATTCTGGCCCCTGCTATCCTCTGTATCTGACACCATTCATACACAGTCTGACCCCTGCAATCCTTGTAATCCGCCACCATTTATATCCACTTTGTATGCCCCCATTCATATCCAGTCTGGCCCTTGCTATCTGCTGTAACCAACACCATTCATACGCAGTCTGGCCCCTGCTATCCTCTGTATCTGCCACCATCGATACATAGTCTGGCGCCCCTGCTATCCTCTGTATCTGCCACCATTCATACATAGTCTAGCCCCTGCTATCCTTGCCATCTGCCACCATTTATACAGAGTATGGTACTTGCTATCCACTCTGTATGCCCCCAATTATATCCAGTCTGGGCCCTACTATCTGCTGTATCCAACACCATTCATGCATTTGCCACTATCCATAACGAGTCTGACCGCTGCTAACCTTTGTATGTGCTCTTTCCATTCACACACAGACTGGCCCCTGCTATCCTTTGTATCTACTCCCATTCATATCCAGTCTGGCCCCTGCTATCCTTTGTATCTACTCCCATTTATACTTAGCCTGGTCCCTGCTATCCTCTGTATCTGCTCCCATTCATACTTAGCCTGGTCCCTGCTATCCTCTCTGACTGCCCACATTTATACCCAGCCTTGCCCCTGCTATCCTGTGTTTATTAACTGGTAACAGATATGTTAATTGTCTGTCCCCATACATATTCCAGTTATCCTGTGTAGCCTGGCCCCTATCCTCTGTGTCTGGCATTATTTATACCAGGTCCGGCCCCTATCCTCTGTGTCTGCCATTATTTAAACCAGGCCTGGCCCCTATCCTCTGTGTCTGCCATTATTTATACCAGGCCTGGCCCCCATCCTCTGTGTCTGCCATTATTTATACCAGGCCTGGCCCCTGCTGTCCTCTGTGTCTGCCATTATTTAAACCAGGCCTGGCCCATGCTATCATCTGTGTCTGCCTTTATACTAGGCCTGGCCCCTGCTATCCTCTGTGTCTGCCATTATTTATCCCAGGCCTGGCCCCTATCCTCTGCGTCTGCCATTATTTATCCCAGGCCTGGCCCCTATCCTCTGTGTCTGCCATTATTTTGTTATCCCAGGCCTGACCCCTATCCTGTGTCTGCCATTATTTTATATCCCAGGCCTGGCCCCTATCCTGTGTCTGCCATTATTTTGTTATCACAGGCCTGGCCCCTATCCTGTGTCTGCCATTATTTTATATCCCAGGCCTGGCCCCTATCCTGTGTCTGCCATTATTTTACATCCCAGGCCTGGCCCCTATCCTGTGTCTGCCATTATTCTGTTATCACAGGCCTGGCCCCTATCCTGTGTCTGCCATTATTTTATATCCCAGGCCTGGCCCCTATCCTGTGTCTGCCATTATTCTGTCATCACAGGCCTGGCCCCTATCCTGTGTCTGCCATTATTTATCCCAGCCCTGGCCCCTATCCTGTGTCTGCCATTATTTATCCCAGGCCTGGCCCCTATCCTGTGTCTGCCATTATTTTATATCCCAGGCCTGGCCCCTATCCTGTGTCTGCCATTATTTTATATCCCAGGCCTGGCCCCTATCCTGTGTCTGCCATTATTTTATATCCCAGGCCTGGCCCCTATCCTGTGTCTGCCATTATTTTGTTATCCCAGGCCTGGCCCCTATCCTGTGTCTGCCATTATTTTTTTTATCCCAGGCCTGGCCCCTATCCTGTGTCTGCCATTATTTTGTTATACCAGGCCTGGCCCCTATCCTCTGTGTCTGCCATTATTTTGTTATCCCAGGCCTGGCCCCTATCCTGTGTCTGCCATTATTTTTTTATCCAGGCACAGCTATCTGTGTCTGCCATTATTTTGTTATCCCAGGCCTGGACCCTATCCTGTGTCTGCCATTATTTTGTTATCCCAGGCCTGGCCCCTATCCTGTGTCTGACATTATTTTGTTATCCCAGGCCTGGCCCCTATCCTGTGTCTGCCATTATTTTGTTATCCCAGGC